TTGATTTTTATAAGACTAAATTTGTTGCATATTAAAATTGAATCGATTTTTGTTATTTTGCTGATATTAAAAAAAAACTTAGGATTACCATCGGTATAAAAGAATATTTGCATTTTTGCTCTTATGAAATGATAATTTGTAAATAGGAACGGAATTTGAGTGGATTTGTAATTTTTTAGTGGAATTAGAACTTTAGGGTAGAATTATTTCCTATAACCCATACACATAACCCTATACTAAAGCAATTTCAAGTTCGTTTAAATCCGTTCTCACTCACGGCAATGAGGTACTTAAGAATTAATATGCAGGTTTCTGATGTTAATAAAATGCATTATTTTTTGATAATTTTGGATTAATGGATTAATGATCTTTGTCATAAAAAAAAAATTTACTAATTTTATGAACAAAAGTTTTTAATATTCCCATTTACCAGTATTTCTAAAATGCACTAACCTTACTGAGGTCGTTTAAATATTATATTTATGAACATTAAAAATAAATATAAATATCTCTGGCTTTTGCTTTTCTTAAATACTGGAAGAAGGCTCCAAAAGACACGACCTCCTCCAAATACTATGAATCGACCTCGTAATACTAACGGCCATCCTCATACCCAAATTCAAAGAAACCTAAATACTGAAAGACGGCTCCAAAGACTCCGACCTCAAAATATTATGAATCAATCTCGTAGCATTAACAGTCATCCTCATACCCAAGTTCAAAGAATCTTAAATACTGGAAGACGGCTCCAAAGACCCCGACCTCCAAATATTATGAATCGACCTCGTAATACTAACAGTCATCCTCATGTCCGAGTTCAAAGAATCCTAAATACTGGAAGACGGCTCCAAAGACCCCGACCTCAATATATTATGAATCGACCTCGTAATACTAACAGTCATCCTCATACCCAAGTTCAAAGATTCCTAAATACTGGAGGACGGCTCCAAAGACCCCGACCTCAAAATATTATGAATCGACCTAGTAATACTAACGGCCATCCCCACACCCAAGTTCAAAGAATCTCAAATACTGGAAGACGGCTCCAAATACCCCAACTTCAAAATATTTTGAATTCATCCGTTGGTGTTCCTAGTGCCTTTCAACAATACATCGATTTGATTGAAGGTTCAAATCCATTTACCGGGTCGCAAGATCCAGAAACACCACGTCAGAATACTCAATATCAGGCTGAACTATTTTCAGGTTTTTTTTCTGGGTTTTCATTATATTAAGAAGAATATATGCACAAATTATATCGCTTAAAACAACAAACAACTTTCAACTATATTTTTTATGGCCACATTTTTACGATAAGGATAAGGTTACTTGATCTGATGGTGTTTAAATACAGTTGAGGATCAATTTTCATTTATGTTTTTAAAAATTATATGCAGTATAGCGTTAGACAATTCAAAAAAAAACAAATTTAAGTCATAATACATGTATTCAACTAAGATTACTTGTTAAAAATTTTTTTATTTAGTCTAAGTAGATTAAATCACATCTTGCCTGAAAAGTGTCTATATGTGTTTATTTGGCTTCACTATTTGGTGGCGTCAGTAGAAACCAAGCAAATTGTTTTTAGTAAGTTTTTTTTTTTTAAATTTTAAATTAAAATATATCAACAACTCTTAAACCAAACTTGATAAAAATTTTTTATTTTAATTCTATAACTATATAGAATTAGATAAAAACTTTTTTATTATGTTTGGTTTAATAGTTGTTGAGATATTTTAGTTCAAAGTTTAAAAAAAAATTACTTAGAAACAATTTGCTTGGTTTCTACTGGCACCCCATTTTTAAATCTTTTTTACACACATATTATTAACAACTAATATGTTACACATCGCGGTGCGTACTTGTATGAAAAATAAGTAATTACTAAGTTATCAGAAGCTGATAGCTGTCCGAAGCAACTAAAATAAAGACTCAGTAATTTGGAGTCACAAAACTATTGACGCCTAGTAAAAACAAATCTTTGTCTAAGATCAGTTCAAAAATACCTCCTTTGAATTGTACCCTAAACATGATAGTACATAAACTGTGTAACCATCAACGATTATAACGTAGTAAGCCAGCTAGGGAGGCTGCGACTATTGCGGCTATAGATGCAGACTTATTTATGTCATTAGTTGCGTTTTATTTTATAAACCGATTTTTTATATAGGATGTAACTAGGTGATGTCATAAGTCTGCATCGATAGCTGCGACTTAAAATCCGAAAGATTCCATAAATTTAGCATTA